GAGATAATTTTCCTTATCCTTACTTTGTTTTATTTTTTTATTTCGAATTCTCTGAAGAATTTGGAAATTACCCTCCACATTCTTCACAGAATTCGAAATAAAAATAAAAAGTTGTTTGGTTTGCTGTTCTGCACAACATACTTTCTTTCCTTTTCTTTTTCCGTTCTTTTTCTTTTTCATCCTTTTTCTTTTCTTTTCTTTTCTTTTTCTTTTTTTTCTCTTTTTTTTTTTTTCCTTTTTTTTTTGGTGGGATACGGGCCGGGACCCTCCACCGGCCCAGTTGCCCGGGCGGTCGTCCCGGGCAGGTCCCGTGCCAACTTTGGGGACCCAAGTGGCACGGCTGGTAGCCCCTATTCTCCCGAATTTACCCTCCCTCTCATAAATCGTACGGTTATTATAGCTGCTGTGTCTTTGGGCCTACTTTCCGTCCAGATGCAGCGATAATGATAATGACAAGACGTTCTATTCGGCTTACCATCATTTTAGGTAGGCATAAGACGGTGACATCGAGAATAACACGTTCTCTAACGTTTTTTTTTTTTTTTTTTTTTTTACACGTTCTCTAACGTGAGAGCTTGAACTCGAGATAATCATGAACAGTGCTTTCTCTGCATGAATTCTCTCGAATGTACTCTCTCATGGTGTTCACCCTACTGTAGTAGAACGTCCGGTCATTATCGATGTATCTTGACTGAAAGTTCCCCCATGTGCACAGATACACTAACCGTACCTTCTATCTCGGGGCAGACGGTATTCCGAAAATCCTCTCACAGTGTCACTGTTTCTCCATTTCCTTCCCCCCCCTCCCCACCCCTCTCTCTCTCTCTCACTGATCCCCCGTCTTTTCACTCTCTCACTCTCTCTCTCTCTCTCTATGTAAATATAAATATTTATTTCTCTCTCTCTCTCTATATATATATATTTATTTCTCTCTCTCTCTCTCTCTCTCTCTCTCTCTCTCTCTCTCTCTCCCTCTTTTCACTCTATTTTCACCGAAGGCTACCATACCAGGTGTACCGTCTTCACCCGAATAGAGCGCCCGGTCATTATAATGTTATCTGGATTGAAAATTGTACCAAATACGGCTATAATGATCGGGCGTTCTATTCAAGTGAATACGGTACTACCTTTCAGACTCACTCTTCCCTGATTTCACTGCCGTCTCTCTCTCTCTCTCTCTCTCTCTCTCTCTCTCTCTCTCTCTCTCTCTCTCTCTCTCTCTCTCTCTCTCTCCCCGCATCCTCTTCGTGCTATCTGCCGATACTCTCTCCACCCTCCTCGTGCTGTCTGCCGATACTCTCCGGTCTCTCCCCCTGTCCTTCCCTCCTCCTCTCTCCCCACTCTCTCTCTCCCCACTCTCTCTCTCCCCACTCTCTCTCTCCCCACTCTCTCTCTCCGTTGTCTTTGTCGGCGAGTCCATCACTCTCTTGCCCACGCTCGTCCGTCACTCTCTCTCTCTCTCTTCACTCTTCTCTCACACTCTCCGCATTTCTTTTTTCTTACACTGTTCTTCCACCGCCTCCCCCCCTTCTCACCCCTGATATACAAACAAATAAGATAAAATTAAAAACGAAGATGATATATATATAAACAGAGCTGCCCGGTAAATATATATCGTCATAGAGAACTGCCAGGTAAACCAGCCGTACTAGGCAGAGAGGGAGAAGAGGACAACAAACGAGGGTGCTGTGACAGACTGTTTCGCTTTGGTTTCGCCTTCCTACTCATCAGGAGGCTGATTTATTTATATATATATAGAGAGACTGTTGAGGGTTCAGCCTCCTGATGAGTCGGTGAAACTCCGACGAAACAGTTTGTCACAGCCCCTCGTTTGTTGTCCTCTTCTCCCTCTCTGCCTACGGTTTACCGGGCAGTTCTATTTGACGATATATATATATATATTATATAAATGTGTATTTGACGATATAATATGTATGAAACAGTTTGTCACAGCCCCTCGTTTGTTGTCCTCTTCTCTCTCTCTGCCTACGGTTTACCGGGCAGTTCCGTTTGTGACGATATATATCGTATTGTCCTCGTCTGCTGTCGGTTTAAATCTTTTGTTGCAAAGACCGATTCACTTTGTTCTCGCCTCGGGTGTTTTCTTTTTTTTGTTTTTTTTTTTTTTGGCCTGGCGGCGCGGGGAGGAGAGTCCAAGGGCGGGAAATAAAGGGGGGGGGGGAATCAAGTGCCGGAAAAAAAGGGGAGAAGGGGTACATATTGCGGTTTTTTTTTCCTTCTCCTATTTTTTTGGAGCATTGTCCCCCTCCTCCCCCCCTCCCTCTCTCCCAAGATATTCGTTTGCCGCAAGTTCTACAAAACTTTGGACCATTTTTACAAAAAAAAAAAAGTCTTTTGCAGGGGACATTTTGCTAATTACCCTTCTCTGTATCGTTCTAATATTGACAGATGTCCCATAGGACTTTCTCATTACTTGGAAAATAATGAAATGGGGGAAAACGAAATGGGGAAAAAGTCGCTCGGGACATCCGTGAAAATTGGAACGATTTAAAAAATAATTATAAAAATAATTGGAACAATACACCGAGAGAAAATTGGCATGGCCTCTGTGTGCAAGAACATGCGGATATCGGGAAATGGCCGGAAAAAAAAAAGGGGGGGGGGAACGGGGGGGGGGGGAAGACCTTTCGGCCTTTTGGCTAAAAATAGATAAAGTGTAGATATTAAACTGATCTATTTTTAGCGTAGATAATAGATATATGTTAAACTGATCTATTTTTAGCCAAAAGGCCGTCTTCTCCTGGTCAGTTTAATATCTGATCCGGTGTCCATCAGCCGTCATAAATTACTATAAATACTTAAATCAGTTAAAATTTTAAAATAAATGAATAAATAATGCGGGGGAAAAGAATGACATGCCGTCATAAATAAATATAAATACTTAATCAATTAAAAATGAATGAATAAATAATGCGGGGGAAAAGAATGACACGCGGACAAATGGGGGAAGGCCACAAAATGTGCGGAAAATTTGGTGAGAGGGGTAGAACAGTGCCAAAAAATGGTGGGAAGGGGAACAATGTGTGGAACCCCCCCTCCCTCCCCCCTCCCCCCCCTTGTGAGGAAATACTAAGGTAGCCCAAAATTCTCTAAAATCTACGACTTTCCTTTCCTGACTTTTATATGGTTATAACTTTAGGACGGTGTTCCCTGTGCCAGAGGGCACCCAGGTTGGTGCATGGACATGAGGCCCAGTTGGCCCGGCTGGACAGGACCCTTGGGGGCGGGGGGTCTTAGGTAGCCCAAGCGCGGAAAAAAAAAAGAAGAACGGCAAAAAAAAAAAAAAAAGAGAAAAAAAAAAGAAACATTGCGTAAAAAAATGTGTAGAATTGCACTGCCACGTTGCAAACACAATTTGGCTGAGGAGGCTACATTCATGCAGTGCCTAAGCAGAATTCTTCCGTATTGAATCAAAGGCGAAACCATGGACTCGTCCGAAGGCACCTGGTCCAGAAGGCATCCAAATGCATGTAGAGTGTTGTGTAGTGAGAGTAATGCGTATAGGAGTGAGGCCTTTAGTATAAAAATAGTAAAATACCCTCTGACGTGTACTTTGTGCATTCCTGTCCGTCGATGTGTGGGTTTTGAAACTTGCACAGGGCGAGCAAGTGTGCGCGGGAGGAGGAGGGAGAATCTCGCTTATAAATCTCGCTGCTTTTGCGGGAACGTCAACAACTTCACAAACTGTAGAGATGCCTAGGTACTGCTCTTGAGGCACACGGCAGGCGTGCGTGCTGTCGATTGCCGCCTCTACAAAATCAATCGCAATCCACATTGCCTCTGTGGATTGCCTCTCGGAAATGAATCCTAATCCGCCTGACAATTAGCGCTGCTGTTTGCTGTCCAGCGGGGCGTGGATTTCATTCAGTTCAGTCAAAGTCAGTCAAAGTCAGCAGGGCGTGGATTTCATTCAGTTCAGTCGAAGTCAGTCAAAGTCAGTCAAAGTCAGTCAATTAACTTTCGGCTTTGCGAAGTTCTCCAACGTCATCCATTTCTTGTTCCATGTGTCGGTTGCCTTTGTTGATGACGTTTCGACAAATGCAATAGGGRGGGAGTGGGGGGGGGGGAGGAGGCTGTTTATGCTCGACGTCTGTACTGTATCGACCAGCGCATTGGTGGTTAGGGGTAGAGGGGTAAATGTGCACTAGGGGTAGGGTAAATATGCACTTGATTCTGAAAGGGGTTGTCAAGTTGCGAGCTCAGGTGATCGATCGCTCACATGGCAGAGGCTGACGAAGACAGACTGTGTTCGTCATTACCGTGCAGCATGTCCTGGAAGATAGGGAACAAGCGTGGACCTCATGGAAAGAAGTAGCCCTATGTGTTTATTATCAGAGTGCTAGTTCATATGTAGGCGTGCTAGTGTACAGTCTGCAGGTGGCAGTATGAGGCAAGTGTGTGTGAATGTGTGTGGGGGGGAGTGTTAGAGTGTCACACTGCACCTGCTAGTAGTATGAAGTGAATTGTGTTTCGGAGAGAGAGAGAGGGAGGTAGGGAGAGACACAGAGGTAAATATAGAAGAGGGCAAAGGTGAGAAAAGGGCCAACCAGAGACACAGAGAGAGAGAGAGAGAGAGAGAGAGAGAGAGAGAGAGAGAGAGAGAGAGAGAGAGAGAGAGAGAGAGAGAGAGAGAGAGAGAGANAGAGAGAGAGAGAGAGAGAGAGAGAGAGAGAGAGAGAGAGAGAGAGAGAGAGAGAGAGAGAGAGAGAGAGAGAGAGAGAGAGAGAGCTGGGGGGGGCGGGGGGGTAGAAGTGGAAGAGTCTAACGTGGGAAAAGAGACATCGAAGAGGAGAAGAGAGGGAGGGAGGCGGGGGGAAGAAGCAGAAGAGGACAAAAGAAGAAGAAGTGAACAATTGGGATGATGGACGGAGTGGACGGAGTGATGCATGACTTGAGAATCCTGGCGTGAGGAAGTCTAGGAATGTCTGGAAGAGGGACTCGAGATCTCGCTAGACATTTTGAGGCTTTCAAAGATCAATGGGATTGGATTTGAATGATCGTCGGTCGATATGTGACAACACTGACACAAGTCCAGAGGGAACAGCCGGGAGATTTGATGGGGTTGTTTGTTATGTAGGCAGAGGTATGACCTACATCTCCTTGTAGCCACTTTGAACACCGTGCCGCTTTCCGGGTTGATGCTTCTTCTTTGTTGAGTGTGAAAGGCGAGTGCGCCACTCGCCTTTCACACTTCAAAAAAAAAGCAAAAACCTTTTGATTCCTAAACAACTCATGGTGTTGGTAGCATGTCGATATGTGGTGGGGTGTGCACTTTTCGCCCCTTGACTGTCTTCGGAGTTGGAAGCGCATTCGGAGTCTGCGTTGACCGATCGTCCATCTTGCGCACGATCTTCGATAAAAAAAAACAAACAAACAGATTTTCGACGACGTGCACTCTGGATATGGTGCATGGACTGGCGAGGCTTCCTCCTCTCTTCTGGTGTATGCGGTAGCGGGTAGCACGAGTTCGTAGCGGAAAATGCATGCATGCTAGATTCACATCCTCATCTGCACTGGTATTCTTGGTCGCTGCGGTGGATAGGTGCGGTGGCGCGTAAGAGCATTTCCGTCGGCACAGCGTGGACGTGGAATTGTGAAGTCGTTGACAATGGGTTTACTTATGTTCAGTCAAAACAGAGGTTCGGCAGAGCAACTGGCGAAGGTGGCGACTTCGACACAAGGCAAGTTCTTGAGGTTTCTTCTGTTGATGACGGTCGGTCTGGCGGTCGTCTCTTGCGTTGCTTATGCAATGTTTGGCCTGGCTTTTCCTGGGGGAAAGTCGGGGGGGGGGGACGCTGACGTGCAGGAATGGTTTGATATCCCGGACAAATCAAACTCCGATAGCATTGCCATGGAGGTAGTCAGGATGCAAATGAAGAATTTGGCTGGCAGGGGTGTTTCTGTTTGCGTACAGCAGTGCATGAGTGCTGCTGGGCCTCCCTGTGTTGAGCCTGGAAGAGGACTTGAGACGCGCGATGCTGATGGAAAGCCACCTTCAGGCAGTGAAAGCGATGGGTACCCCCTTCTATGGCAGAAAGTTCGGTCAAAGGCGGAGCTTGGCATGGAAGACACAGAACAGCCAACCAACAATGACGGAGCGGCAAATCGCCAGGGCACGAATGATGCAGCGTCAGATCGTCAGGCTGCCGACCATGGAGCGTCAGATCATCAGGCTGCCGACCATGGAGTGTCAGATCGTCAGGCCACCAACCATGGAGCGTCGCATCGTCAGGCCACCGACCATGGAGCGTCAGATCGTCAGGCCGCCGACCATGGAGCGTCAGATCATCAGGCCACCGACCATGGAGCATCAGATCATCAGGCTGCCAACCATGGAGCGTCAGATCGTCAGGCCACAGACCATGGAGCTTCAGATCGTCAGGCCGCCGACCATGGAGCATCAGATCGTCAGGCCACCGACCATGGAGCGTCAGATCGTCAGGCTGCCAACCATCGAGCGTCAGATCGTCAGGCCACCGACCATGGAGCGTCGGATCGTCAGGCCAGAAGGATCGCAGCAGAGGCCATTGGGCATGCTAAAACTCGGACAGAATCCTCTGTCAATGCAGCTCGTCGGGTTGAGAAAAAGGTAGGGGGTAGTAATAAAGAGCCTCGGAGAGAAGAACGCGGTAAAAATAAAGGGCCTCTGAAAGGAGGTGGCAGTCAAAATAAAGAGCCCCGGATGATGAACTTTGTCGAAAAGTTTAAGAAGTTTGTGCCACCGAACAGTGGCAAAAGAGATCACATGTACTACAAACTGGCGCAGGATGACATTGATCTCTTGGAACTTGCAACGACGAAGGCAAACTACATGCCGCGGGTGGCGTTGCTGTTTCTCACGGAAGGGCCACTCGGCCCAGCGCCAGTGTGGGAAAACTATCTCCGTGGGTACGAGGATCTCTATTCCATTTATGTGCACCAAATGCCGCGCTTCGAGTTTCCGCAAAACGATTCCAAACTCTTCGCCAGAAGGGTGATACAGAGCGAGAATGTCGAATGGGGTCGGATGGACGTGGTGGACGCGCAGCGACGACTGCTAGCGAATGCTATCATGAACCCGTTGAATCAGCGCTTTATTTTCCTCTCCGACTCCTGTGTTCCCGTGACGGACTTCCTCTTTATGTACCACTACCTTATCGATACCTGTGACAGTTTTGTCGAGAGCGCGCAGGCCAGAGGGCAAGCGCAGGCTGGAGAGCAGTATGATGCGAAGGGGAAACCGATCGTCAAAAGAGAGGGTGTCCAGTTTCGATCGCAGTGGTTTACCTTGACGAGGAAACATGCAGCTCTCATCGTGCAGGACCGGACATACTATCCCGCGTTTGCGTGGAACTGTGTGGGGGTGGCAGAGAGGACTGACGGCTTCTGCGTCCCGGGATTTTCACGATGGTGCAGACGAGAAACCCGTGTTATTTGCGACCGTCATGAGCAGTACATTCAAACCGTTATACGTAATCTTGCGTCTCACGAGCTCAACCAACGATCCGTAATGTGGGCATCGCAAGAGGGGTCGTGGGATGCACATGCTGTCTCTTGGACTGCTGAGAAACTAAGGGCCAATGGCTCACTATTGGAGTCTATCCGGGAGCAGAAAAATTGCCTGTGGAATGGCCAGGAGAAGGAATGCTTTTTGTTTGCACACAAATTCACATCGGACGCTGTGCCTCTGCTCCTTGAGAAGGGGAAACAGCTAGGACTTTGGAGATCATAGGAAGGTCTACGTCTGTTACATAGGTTGTTTTTCCACTCTTCTTTACTTCTCTTGGCTTTGCTCACCCACATATTTCTGCCTATTCCCTCCCTCCCTCCCTTCTTTCTTACTCTCCTTCATCTCCTTCTCTGTGCTATGCTCACCCACACGTTTCTGCTAGTGTGTGTGTGTGTGTGTGTGTGTGTGTGTGTGTGTGTGTCTTGCCCCATACATACCCTCCTCTTCACTGATGCATGGACACTTTCTTGCTCGTTCTCTTTGTGTCTCCCATGCTGTTTTTATGGCAACGTGTTTGCAGTCTTCGACTCCTCTCTTCCCTTGGCGAGCGTTAGTCCAAATGCAGACAAGTATCATCCTCTACCCTTGTACAAATGGGGCACTGGTTTTGGTCACACTCTCTTCGCATCAGGTACACACCCTTTAGGGTGGGATTACTAACAGATTTCCTTGTTTCCATCATTTTCATGTTCTTTCCCACATTCAGTTGATTCCTACTTACCCCCTCTCTGGCTCGCTTTCCTTGAGAGGCCTGCTCCCTGTTCCATCTCCCCCTCCCCTCCCCTCCCCTCCCCTCCCCCACCCCAAAAGGAAAAACAGGATAATTGTCACACTGTGTTCTTCCACATGATGCTGACCTGACTCCCTTCAGCTTGTGGAGGGTGTTTCTGAGACAACAGTGGTTTGTTCATAAGCCCTCTTCATCACGTCGTGCTGCTTGTGCCCATTGCCTTCCCATCTGCCATCTGATTAGCCCTTGGTGAACGGGGTGGGGGCCGAGGGGCCGAGGGGGAGGAGAGAGGTTTAAACGACCAGAACACGCGGGCCTGGAGGCATTTCACTGTGTGCTGAGCTTTTCCAAATTGCCAGTGGGGTACTTTTCTCCTTTTTGGGCTGGGGTGCTGCCGGCCGTTGTGGTTCCGTCGCCCTGAGCCTCCGATATTTTCATCGTCGATGAAAGATTTTTCCACAAGTCGGGGCCTGTGTTCTTCCGGTTTTCATGCATCTCGACCAGCGGCACGGTTTCGCTAGCTGCATGCTGCCCCTTTCATATCCTTTGGACATCTCAGACAGAAATTGAAGTTGAAAGAATTTAACATGAAAGATTAAACAATGTATACGGTCTCAATTACCAGAGTATACGTTCTGAAATCTCGTAGTCTCCGCCCTGCCCTGAACCTAGAGAGAGCACTTTTTTTAAGTTTTTTTTTAAGTAGCAAGACTGACAGTCTTTAACATTTCAAGCATCGTACAGAGCGCTTTTTCACACGGACAAAAACTGGCAGGCTTGTAGATTTATGTACCATACACAGAACAGTTTTTTCAGAAGGAAAACAAAAATGAAAAACGTTTTGCGGATCGAAAACTGGCAGTCTTTTTGAAATTAGGCCACCATCGCGTTGTTATTAATATGTTTGTCGCCATTGCCAGTAATAACTTGATAAGCCACGCCAGAATAATTTTGGCTCCATTTATTCTGCCGCCCACCAGAATAAATGCAGCCATGAGTCAGTTCTGTGTTAAGGGGAAAAAAAAAAAAAAAAAAGGGTCACCGCTCAACGGACTCTTGCTGGAACGGACCTCGTCGTGTTTGCAACTTTCGTTTATCCGAAGTGGTGCTTTTTTTTGGGGGGGG